CTCGTGGCGTGTTTGGGGTGGCAGTTCGTTAGCATGGTTGCGTCGGGGGTGCATGGAGATGTGGCTGCTCTCCACAGGCATGGAGAACCAGTGTCCTCACCTTGGGAAGGTGAATATGGAAGTGGTGGGAGGCAGGAGGCCTTTTTCAAAGGGGCCGAGGTGCTGTCTCAGCCGTGTTTGTCAGTGCTGTGATGGGAGGGAGCAGGAATTCTTTCCCAGCTCTTCAGGAGCTGCTGCACCCCTGCACGCACAGGGCATGGCATTCAGTTTAGGAGTTCATGGCTGTCACTCGGTGGTGTAAATCAGCCGCCACGCTTGCCCTGGGGACTGCCTTTGCCCTGTCTGAAATGCTGACTGCCGCCCCAGCACTGTCACACTCCCTGTGGCATCTGACCTAATGCCATAGAGCTGGATTCCCCCCTTGGGACCCAGTCCTGACCTGGGGGACAGCTGTCCTTGCTTCACTGCCACATAAGCCCCGCTTCCTGCGCCCCCAGGAACGCATTACAGCTCCCTGGCTCTATCTTTGCCCCCACGTTGTCTGAGGGGAGTTATTGCCCAGTGGCTTCCACCCCCGATTTTCCCGATGCTAAACTGCCCCTCGTGCTCTGGACCCCTGCGCCTGTCTCGCTGCTGGGCTTTCCTGCGGGACAGGGGGGTGCCACCAGGCTGGGCCCCTTGGGAGCAGCCGATGCGGGTGCTGTGCGAGTTGGGAGCCCTGCCTCCCTTGCTCTGGAGGGAGGTTGGGGCTGCGACCGTGTGTTTTGGCGCTGAGAAACTGCTGTCCTCTGGCCAGCCTGGCCCTGGAGGTCACAGCCTGGGCTAAGCTGCTTGTGCTTCTCCTTTCTTTGCCCTCTGCTTTGTCTTGGACCTGCCCTACCTGTGTCCTTTGTTAAACCCCAGCACAAAACCCATGAGGTGCTCCTGTGCTGCTGCAGCTCCTCCGTTCTGGGGCACAACCCCTGTGGCACGTCGCCACCTGGACTCCCAAGGCCACCTCTGTCATCCTGCGCGTCGCTGGTGCCAGGTGAGTGTTTTCACAGCACGGGGCGTCCAAAAAGCAGAGCGGGCTGGAGAGCCCTCGGCCGCACCGGGGCAGCGGCACTGCCTGG